CACTATATTAATCTCTTTCTATATTTAGTAGAACAAGAATAAATTAAATTATACTTTTATTAATTAATTACTTAGTATAGTTTGTCATTTCACGTAATTTTTCTATAATAATAATGACATTTAAAATGAATAGAAGGGATAGAGTCCGTTTACTCTTCCTTATCCTTTGGCAAACCTGATATTTTCTGGATTAGTCGATACATAATTTTTCATTTTTTCTTTTAATATGGTCATAAAACACTAATTCCCCTCCCCCTCTTTTCTCTATTAATGGAGTAGGTGAAGTCCCATTACCTTTTCGACCTTTTTCTTATCTTATTTCTGGTAAAACATAATTGACCAAGCAGAGGATGTATTCAATTTTAATTTTTAGATGCAAGAACAGATCTACAGCAAAGCTGACTTTTTAACAATAATTCTTTATTTAAAAAAAACATGTTAAAAATGACCAAAAAAAAAAAAGTTGGGCACTAGAACACTTGAACAACTTTTTTGGGGTGTGACTTGTAAAAATATATACATGTCATTTATGTGAGCTCTAGCATATGGTATGATTAAGTTGTTCCAAAAAAAGACAATGATTTCTATTGCCTTTATTATTGGTGCATGTTACTTGCAGAATGATCTTACTAAAAAGTAAAATGGTACAAGTCTCATTTGTTCTCTATCATAGTAACCATTTTTTCAATATAAATTAGAATTTTCCATATATAATTTATTTTAGTTTTGGTACGGTATAAATGGATGAATTTAGTTTTCCTCTTTTAGTTTTTTCAACCTACCAACGTGTGTCATGAACTAACCCTTATGTTCAGACAACATATATATAATAAAAAGTCATAAACTATGACTAATAATACATTATAGGACCACACTATGAAAAATTAGCATCTCTTTTTTCTCTCATTTCACTTTCTTGAAGTTGATAGGATCATGAATATGTTAATGTCACTATATCAAAAATATTATTACCGACTAAATATGTATTTTTAGTAATAATTAGCATTATTTGTAGCCTTTAGCTACATTAATTCTAATGATATTTAATTTATATCGGTAAAATTTTTAACTCTCTTTGTTAATATTAATATTTATTGTCGCTTTTATTTTTATTATAGTGTGTAATACACTAATTAAGTTTGACTCATATACTTTTGCTTTTATGTTGGCTTCATACAAATTTCATAAATCATTCTAATTAAGTTACACATAAAAGATATTCAAAACAAGAAGCGCAAGAACAAAGAGTGCCAAAAATATCATTCTTATTTGTCTTAATTTTCTTATGTGAAAATTGTTGACTAAATGATTTTAAGTTAAAAGTGGGTGAATATACATGCATATATACCATTTTAAGTAAGTCAAACTTTAATTGATTTGGGGGATGATCAGTTGATATAAACTATAGGATATATTTTCAATTTGCATACAATTGAACTAGAAGAATTAGTCAGTATAAAAATAATTGGTCTATTGAGTAGCTTAACTATTCCAATTCCACTTTAACCATACATAGTTTATGTCTGGTTATAATTAAACTCAAATATATTTATTTGACTTTCTTATTTCCAAAAGAAATATTGTACTTGTTATTAATATTATAATTGAAGAAGCTGGTGAGATCTATGGTTTTGTCAAACTTGGTCTAAGGTCAAAATTGGATAATTCTAAATAAATTTAACATTTGTAGGGTTGTGAAAAACATGTCCAGAATATAATATATGATTATTATATGGTTTTTGGTGACAAAGCACCATAGCTTCCTTAACATCAGCGTGCATATATATTAATTTGATAATTAACAATAATAATACTATTAACAATAATATTTTAGTTGTCGAATACAGAAATTAATTTGATCAACTTCTTTATTGGCTGGCTGAAACTGACCCACGTTAGATTCTTCCTCTCAATTAGCCAACATTATGGGCTTGATTTTTCGTATTATTGAGCTTCTCTATGATTTGTTGGAGTTAATTCTTTTCTTTGACATTCTTCTTTTACTTTAAAATAATCGATCGAATAATTATATATTTATGGATCCATTTCTTTTTGTTATATAATATATATTTATCTAATAAATCTCCAGTTAAAAAATAGTTCTTCAAAAGAGCATTTTTATTTTCTTTTCTTTTATATTGATGTTATTTATCAATTTCGCCAAAAACTAGTAAAAGAGAGTTATATCACATACGTCAAAATTATATCAAATATATGTGACTCCTCATAAGATGAATTTAAATGGTAGAGGAAAAATATGACAAAGTTGAATGGAGGACCCTGTAATACATAAATTAGATCAAAATTTACCGCGGGTAGGTAATTGTCGTGAGAGACAGATGACTAATCATCTGAATGTGAAAAAAATTGAAGAATTTTTTGGAAATCTTATAAGATATGTTCATTATTTTTTCATAGATAGCTGGTCAAAACTTCATATAGGTTCCTGTTGAGAGGTAGATTAAAAAAAAACAATGTACTGCCTTATTCGAGGAAAGCGATCACAATCAAAGATTTTTCATTCTCAACGTAAGACTTTTGATTAAAAAAGGACCAGGGTATTGGTGGTACTTAAATGCCTACCGGATTTGAAACCATGTAATATCATAAAAACGCTCTATTATCCTTATAATGCCTAGCGGATTTGAAAATGAGAAATTTTTATTACCTTCTTTTAACTATAAATCTCTAGATTTTTGTTTCCAGAAGATCTCTTGATCATTTTTATAAGATTGACTCAAATATCCATGAAATAATCTAATTTTATTAAGGTATATAATATGTGAGCTTCTCCTAATCTCCTTAATCATTTTCTTAATCTCTACAATTTGTTTCTAGAGTTACCATTACCTCTCCTTAACCACGCAACTAAAGAATGTTTACAATTCTTTAATGGAAAAATTACGCAGTTAAGTAAATTTATACTACTTAATTACTCATCATTGTTATAATTTGCTATAATTATCACTAACGACTAACATTATACATTAATTATGTGGGCTGACTTCGAGTTTGTTTAATTAGCTACATTTGTACATGTATGATACATTAGAATATACAAATACATATGTGTAATATACAATTATTTAATCAATATACATATTCAGCTCACCACTCTCATACTCTCTGCCCTCTCTCACTCATCTCTCTCCTCCCTTTCTCAATCTCGCTCGCCTTTCGCGTCTCTCTTCTAATCTCGCTTGCTTTTTATACAAATGCATGTGTATAATATATAATTATCTAACCAATATACATATACAATTCACCTCTCTGTCCTCTCTCGCTCGCCTCTCTCCTCTCTCTCCCAATCTCAATTGTCATATATACAAATACATATGTATTATATACAATTATCTAACCAATATACATATACAATTCATCTCTCTCCCATTTTCTGCCCTCTCTCTCGCCTTTCTCCTCTCTCTCTCTCAATTTCGCTTGCCTCTCTCCTCACTATAACTTGTAGCTACGAATTATAATTATCAAACTATAGCTATGAAGAATAGTTAAGTTATTTTTTAGTGGTTATATGTGAAAGTCATTATGAGGTTGAACATATAACTCATCTGTCCGGCCCAATTTAACTTCTTATAAATTTACTAACCATAATTAAATTTATTGGCGGAGAAAATTCTACTAAGCTATCAAAAAACTTACTCCTAGAATTTTAATTTTCTACTGCAATCAATGAAGTAGATATAAACTCTTAATATACAATTAAATGATTTCAAATTTAGTAATTTTTGATGGAGGATAATCTGGTCACACATACAATAAATATATATATATTTTTTCAATTGACTATATTAATTAAAGCATTCCTTTTTTGCCTCCATTCCATGGATTCTCATTTATTATATAGAAAATAGTTTAGTTCTTAATAATGTTTATCTCGTACTACTACTTTCAGGTAGAATATGCCGGATTTAGAATTTACCCTAACTGGGTTAACCCACAGTGAATATATAAACTCCAATATTTGTGTGGTTAGCAGACTATTATATGGTGTTCATTGTTATATAAATTAATGATAGATATATTATGATTTTATATGTATATGACATATATTATCTATTGAAAGAGTATATGAAATTATTCTATTTTAATTAATATATATGAGATTAAGAAGAAAAAAAATATTTCCTTCATTTTTATTTGTTAAAGTGATTTTAGAAGAAAGAAAACAAGAATAATATTCGTTAATAATATTTTAATTAGGAAGAAAATGTGTTTAAAAAGAAAAATATTAATATATTTACTCATTTGACCCATTTTGTGACTATAGATGTATTTATGGACCAAAATAATGACTACAAGTGCATTTTTAAGTTAAAGTATTGAAGATAAGGGTATTTTTTAGCAAAATTATCAAGGGAGGGCATTTTTGTTTTTTCTCACATAGTTTAAGGATATTTTTAACTTTTTCCCTAAAGATGCACGAGGTTTGTTATTTATCCCTATTACAATGGAGAGTGGTCAGCGAAATAAGAGAAATGTGAAGGAAGTGAATTAAATATGTTATGAATATAAAAAATATATATTCACTTGAATTTACGTACATAATATTACAAGTTAAAATATATCAAAGTAATTAGCTTTAAGTAAGATTTAGATAAATTTCATATTATTTTACGAAAAAAAAAACAAACACAATTACAGTCTTTAACCAACTCGCAAATAACTTGTGTGAATGACCTAAAATAATTCACCAATTCACTTCTCTGTAAATCTCTAAGAAGAACAGTGGTAAAACGAGTGGCCATTTCTCGCCGACGCCGTTACGTGTATCAGTACAGTAGGTATGATTTTTCAAGTCTTATTTATTGAGGATTTGCTATTCTTTTCTTTTTTTTCCTTTTGTCTACTTTCTTTCTAAGGATTTTCATAATGCAAAGTTAAAAATTGATCAACTTGCGTGTTTTAGCCCTATGCACATTCAAAAGAAAGAAATAGTATGCAATTTACGGGAAGTAATGATCTTTGAAAACTCTGCATCCTTATCGTGGTTCCAGTACAGTTATGGTATCAGTATTCACGGACCCTTGGCTTTGCTGTGGTGAAGCATGTCCTCCGGTAAATGCAGGTTGTTTAGGAGTAGATAGTTCAGCCATATCACTAGTCAGCATTGACAGAACTGACGAGACATTTGGCCTATCTTCTGCATATTCTTGAACACATAAGAATCCAATATGTACACATCTCACCATCTGTTTTTCGAAGCTCGAATCAAATATTTTAGGGTCTATCAATTTTATGATATTGTTTTCATTCCACAACTTCCATGCCTAATGAACAAAGAAACAGAGGAAAATATTATTCTCATAATTTTTCTCCTCTATATTTTTGGTTTGATGAGTTAGCAAAGCTTCATAGTTGCAAGAATGAACTTACATATGCAAGTAGAGTCAGTTCACCTTCATCATCATAAAAGCTAGAGTTCTTCCTTCCACTGACAATTTCCAATATCAACACACCGAAGCTGTAGACATCTGATTTTTCTGAGAATCTTCCATGCATTGCATATTCAGGGGCCATGTAACCACTGCATAACAGATTAAAACACAAATCTCAATGACAATTTATTGGAATTACATAAGTCCAATAGGTAGTTAGGTTTGTTAGAATTAGTTAGTTAGGAGTCATGGAAGTAGTTAGGCAACTTGTAGTTAGTTGTAACTAACTTCCACTCCAAAAATGTGATCAAATAGAAATGACATGATCCCTATAAATAGGAGTCATTATTGTATACTTGAAATATAGAAAATCTATTAGCTTCTTCTCTTTCTTCTTCAAGTTTCTTACTGTCATTTCTTTGATATTGCAGTAACCTGCGACAATGGAGTATTAACTCCATGATATATAAAAACTATCATGGTATCAGAGCGGGCGTAATTAGGACTAATTTGATTTCGAATTTTTTCTTTCCGCGAAGTAATTTTTGAAGATCAGATTATAGCCATGGCAGAACTTACTGTAGCAACTCTTGGACACAATCATCCACTCTATCTGCAGCCTTCAGACACGCCTGGTGTTGCATTGATCACAACAAAGCTTACAGGACCTGAGAATTATGGTCTTTGGAGCAGATCGATGAGATTGGCACTGTTGGTGAAGAACAAGATAGGCTTCATAGATGGAACCTGTTTAAAGAGTATGTACAAGGATGAATTAGCAGTTCAATGGGAAAGGTGCAATGCAGTGGTTCTTTCATGGATTAGCAGCACAGTAGCAAACAATTTGTTAACAACAATAGTATATGCATCAAATGCAAAACGAGTTTGGGAAGATTTCAAGGAGAGGTTTGATAAATCTAATCTTACTAGGATCTATCAACTTTGGACAGAAGTAGCCACATTAAAGCAAGGTACGGATTCTGTAACAGAGTATTATTCTAAATTGAGGGATTTATGGGATGAGTATGATGTATTGGTGCCTTCACCATCATGTAAATGTGATGATGCTAAGCCTTACATTGAGCATTTACATCAACAAAGATTGATGATGTTCTTGATGGGGTTAAATGAGACTTTCAGTCATGTGAGAAGTGATTTGTTGCTGAAAAGTGAGGTACCTACAATTAACCAAGCTTATGCAACTGTAATTCAAGAGGAAAGCCAAAGAGTATTAGGTGTTGTGGATTCAAATAAAGAACCACTTACTATGATGGCAGGAAAAGGACAAGGACAAGGATTCAAAGGGAAGAAAGTATTGCCAGGCAATAACAATACTGGATGTGAGATCTGTGGTTTCAAAAATCATGTAACTGAAAAGTGCTATAGGCTGGTAGGATATCCTTCTGACTTCAAGAGTAAGAGGAAACAATCAGATTCTACTGGATCATACCAGAACAACAATGAAGGTTTTAGATCACATGGTTCTTACAGTAGTAATACTTACAACAACACTGGAAATTCTGGAAACTTTAAGCCATATGCTAACAATGCTTCAATAGATAAACAGAGGGAGGAATCTGAATTCACAAAGAAAGAATACAATCAAATGAAGAATCTGTTACACAACAAAGAACCAAGTGACTGCAAGGCTAACTTGACAGGTAATGTTTCTTTACAGACTAAATCATCTGCATATGACTGGATAATTGATTCAGGAGCTACTCATCATGTTGCTTCATATGAGGAGCTCATGTATGAATTGAAAAACACAAAGAATGAATACTCGAGTACAGTTCAGTTGCCAACAGGAAGCAGAGCTCAAGTGAAACATACAGGCAATTCAGTCATTTTTGGAAATCAGACAGTGAAGAATGTACTTCATGTACCTGATTTTAAGTTCAATTTACTATCTGTGGCAAAACTCACCAAGGAATTATCTTGTAGTGTGAGTTTCTTTCCTCACTTTTGTGTACTGCAGGAACTTTACAATGGCAAGGTGATTGGGATTGGTAAAGAGATTGATGGTTTATACCTACTACAAAGTACTGTTAGAGCAAGAGTTAATTCAGCTTCAACATCAAAAAAGGGTGCAAGTTTGGCTGACTTGTGGCATTTCAGACTTGGACATCCACCTATCAAAGTTATGGAACAGATAATTTCTCTTAAGAAGTACTTCAACATCTCCACATACAATTGCTGTCAAATATGTCCAGTGGCCAAACAAAGTAGATTGAGTTTTCCTACAAGTAATTCTAAGTCAACTCATAATTTTCAACTTCTTCATGTTGATCTCTGGGGACCTTACAAAGTTCTTACACATGATAATAAGCAGTATTTTGTGACAATTGTTGATGATTTCAGTAGATTTACTTGGCTTTGTCTAGTTCAACACAAATCAGATGTGCACATTATATTGAAAGACTTTATGTTGATGGTTAATACACAATTTGGTGTTAAAGTTCAAGTTGTGAGAACTGATAATGGAACTGAGTTTTTTAACTCTAAATGCAGTGTTTTGTTTTCTTCTCTTGGAATAGTTCATCAGAGTTCATGTGCTTATACACCTCAACAAAATAGTGTTGTTGAAAGAAAGCATAGACACATATTAAATGTAGCCAGAGCACTGAGATTTCACAGTGAAATTCCTATCAGATTTTGGGGAAATTGTGTTAAAACTGCAGCTTATCTGATAAACAGAATGCCTACAACTGTATTACAAGGGAAGTCACCATATGAACTTCTTTATAAACGAGCACCTAATCTAGAACATTTGAGGGTGTTTGGATGTTTATGTTTTGTATCAGTTTTGCCAAGAAGAGATAAATTTGCTCCAAGAGCAACAAGATCAGTCTTCATTGGGTACTCAGAGACACAAAAAGGATATAAAGTCATGGATTTGGAGACTCATGTCATATCAGTGAGCAGGGAGGTTACATTCATGGAAGATTCATTTCCTTTCAAAGATGTTATCACAAAAGAAGTATCATCAACCACAGATTATACTGCTCCTATACAAATGGATATGTTTGATCATGCAGATGATAATATACCTTCAAATCCTGTAGATTCTATTGAAGATCATGTTGAGGAGATCAATCCTATACAATCAGAAGTTGATGCTTCTTTAGAGAATAATCTGCTGGAGCCACAACATAGTGAAATCACAGATGATGGTGATCTTACACCTGCTAGAAGAACTGCTAGAAATACTAGGCCTCCTCTTTGGCATAAAGATTACATAATTTCAACTAAGTCTAATATGACTTGTTCATATCCTATTGCTAATAATTTGTCATATGAACTCTTGACACCATCTTATCAAAACTTTATCAAGGGGTTCTCAGTTATAGTGGAACCCACCAGCTTTAAGGAAGCCTCCAAACACCAACAATGGGTGGATGCAATGCAGTCTGAAGTAGCTGCTTTAGAACAAAACAATACCTGGGCAATAGTAGATTTGCCATCTGGTAAACATCCTATTGGTTCAAAATGGGTTTATAAAGTTAAACTTAAAGCTAATGGTGAGGTGGAAAGGTACAAGGCAAGGTTAGTTGCCAAAGGCTATAATCAACAAGAAGGGTTGGACTATCATGAAACATTTTCTCCAGTAGTAAATTGTTGAAATCTTTATATGGCTTGAAACAAGCTTCCAGGCAATGGAACCTTAAGCTAACTGAGGCTCTAGTTACTGCTGGTTATTCTCAAAGTTCTTATGATCATTCTCTTTTCACAAAGATAGTTGGTGATGATATTGCAGCAGTGTTGATCTATGTAGATGATCTTCTTATAACTGGAAATAGCAGTGTTCTAATTGAGGATCTAAAGACTACATTACATAGTAACTTCAAAATGAAAGATCTTGGTGATCTAAAGTATTTTCTTGGTATTGAAGTACTAAGATCAAGAAATGGTATTGTTCTTAGCCAAAGAAAGTATGCACTAGAGTTGATTTCTGACTGTGGTCTTGGAGGGTCAAAACCAGCAAGCACACCTTTAGAATCAGGTGTCAAATTAACTACTGTTGAATATGATGAAGCCACTGCAAAGACAGATGATCCTTTATATGCAAATGTTACTGCATATCAGAGATTAATTGGTAGATTGTTATACTTAACAACTACTAGGCCTGATATATGTTTTGCTGTACAAGTTTTATCACAGTTCATGCAGAAACCTAAGGTGTCTCACTGGGAAGCTGCATTGAGATTGGTTAGATATATTAAAGGATGTCCAGGACAAGGGATACTACTTAGCAGTGAAGACAGCAATGAAATGGAGGCATTCTGTGACTCAGACTGGGCATCATGTCCAAACACAAGAAGGTCAGTGACAGGGTATGTAATCAAGCTAGGGAATTCACTCATTTCTTGGAAATCCAAGAAGCAACATACAGTCAGCAGAAGTTCAGCAGAAGCTGAGTATAGAAGCATGGCAGCTGCAGTATCAGAAATATCTTGGTTACTTGGAGTATTGAAAGAACTTAATGTGAATGTGATAGTTCCTGTAAAATTGCACTGTGATAGTAAGGCTGCAATTCAAATTGGAGCTAATCCTATTTTTCATGAAAGAACCAAACACATTGAGATTGATTGTCATTTTGTGAGGGAAAAAATCAAAAGTGGTATGATACACACAGAATATATCAACACAAAGGAGCAATTAGCAGATCTTCTAACCAAAGGGCTGGGAGTTTCTCAACATCTTGAACTGATCAACAAGCTTGGAGTCTTTAATGTCTATAGAGATTCCAGCTTGAGGGGGAGTATTGGAATTACATAAGTCCAATAGGTAGTTAGGTTTGTTAGAATTAGTTAGTTAGGAGTCATGGAAGTAGTTAGGCAACTTGTAGTTAGTTGTAACTAACTTCCACTCCAAAAATGTGATCAAATAGAAATGACATGATCCCTATAAATAGGAGTCATTATTGTATACTTGAAATATAGAAAATCTATTAGCTTCTTCTCTTTCTTCTTCAAGTTTCTTACTGTCATTTCTTTGATATTGCAGTAACCTGCAACAATGGAGTATTAACTCCATGATATATAAAAACTATCACAATTCATAATCCACGAAAAACTGAAGGAAGCAACGTGAACTTACTATGTGCCAACAACTCTTATAGTGCGTGCCTGGTCTTGATTGCCTCCAAAAATCCTCGCCATGCCAAAATCCGAAATTTTTGGGTTTAGGTATTCGTCCAACAGGATGTTGCTTGCCTTCAGATCTCTATGAATAATTCGTAGTCTTGAGTCTCTGTGAAGGTAAAGGAGGCCTCGACCAGTTCCTTCAATAATGATGGCTCGTTTACTCCAATCTAGGAACTTTTCCTGGTGTGAACCTGAAAAGGCATCACCGAGAAATGTATGATGGAATTTGTTTCCTTAAGGACATACAACTTTCTTTTGAGTCTGGAAGTACTTAAGTAGAAGGACAGGCAAACCCAATGAAACAAAATTCTGCACTGACCAAAAAGATATGCATCTAAGCTTCTATTGGGCATGAAATCATACACCAGGATCTTTTCCCCTCTTTCTGTGCAGCAGCCGAGGAGCCTAACAAGATTACGATGTTGTAGTCTAGATATCACGACTACCTCATTCATAAACTCCTGTAGCCCCTGCCCAGAAGAATGTGAAAGCCTTTTAACTGCAATTTCTTGTCCATCTGGCAATTTTCCCTGCAGATAATCAATCTTATTTATCTCATATTCTTTGCACTTGTCAGGAACACAGTAGAGATGTGTCAAGAAACATTACTTTGTAGACTGGACCAAAGCCTCCTTGCCCCAGCTTGCTAGCTGAGTGAAATCTGTCAGTTGCAGTTGCTAACATGTCAAAGCTGTACAAGGTGATATCTTCAATCTTGACTTGATTGATATCATCTTTAATCATGCCGTTTTGGTAACATTTTGGAGATGCTTCTCTTAAGAATGCTTCACTTTTCCTCTTTCTTTCTGGTTTAGAATGGACATCCATAAATCAAACAATGTGCAGATGGAGAAGTTCTAGTTTGTCTTCTCAAAAATCTCATTTGAACAATTACCTCTGTGTTTAGCCAACAATTTCCAGAAAAGATATCCACATAAGATAACTATTATTGAGCCTATTGAAACAGTGATTGCAATAGCTGCTACAGGGAAATCTTTCTTGTCATTTGCAGCTGCAAAGCATGTACAAGCAATAGACAGTTCTTTAGCATATCTTTCATTCCATGGAAGTGAAAGCACTATATGAGAATTTGAGACTACTTCAATGGTATGGTAAATTTTATTAGGAGTTTCTTGGTTATATTCTTCAAAGCCTAGAAGACTTCAAAATTTTAACTCCTTGTCGTTCCAAAAAAATAAGCTAAACAATTGAAAGCTCATGGTTGAAAAGAAGTATGTTACCAAGTTCAGAGTAGGCAAGACGAATGAACAAATCAGCCGCCCCATCCATGGAGTATTCTTGAATATCAATTAAGCTTCTATTCCAATGCATACAACCAATGCCTGTGTAGTACGAATATGCCATGCAGGAACAGTTACTTAAACAGTCACTTTCACAGTCTTCTTTCGCAGAGGATACCCAAATTACAAAATCTGGTACTCCCATTGTCTGCATCTTCAAAAACCCATCCTTTTTTCCCGTCTCAACATCAGTTTTGTTCCTTTCACAGTCTAATGCAGTCCTTCTGATGCATCCACCAGACCATTCTCCTTTCTCCCATTCTCCTTCATTTTTAGGCTTAAAACCTTGTATGCAACTGCATATTGGAGAGCTCTTTGGATTACAGCTTCCAAATGCCCCACACTTAGCATAAATATCACACTCACTTCGGGGATTTGCCCACGTTACCACCCAATCCTTCTTACTTTGATCCCAAACCTTCTCCTGATAAGACCCTGTTGAGTTCAAGGAATAATAGAGTATCCAAGACTGATTTCCGTTGGAATAAGTTTGGTATGCGGTGCCAGCATTATCAGCTACAAGTTCAACACCAGAGCGATAGGAAGATTTCATTTCGGGTATTCCAATATAGATCTGTTTATCCCATGGACTAGTACGCCAGTAAGGAACGGTGTTATTCCAAATAAAAGCCTGGGGGATGTATTGAAGTTGAATTCCAGCTGAGAAGCTCCCAACAGATGGATCATCAGGACTTCTCCATGATTTCAGGAGAGCCGTTGAGTTAGTACTCTTATCGATGCCCATTTTCATGAGCTGTAAGAGAGAATCTGTAGGATATTGAAAGCTTTCCCATAGAACTTTCCCGTTTGAGCTATCTTTCAAGACTAAGTTGCCAGTGTCCAAGAGTTGAGCAGTAGAATTCTTCATAGAGTTTGAAATACTGGATGACCATATTATCTCCTTCAGTCCATTCAAGATTACTAGATTGCCATCTTCTGATAGTGTGAGTAATCCGCTAGAATCATTTATAGGCTTGTCTCTGTTAGCTACCCATACTGCAGTTGGTGTTGGTGATGGTAGGTTAAACATAATCCCTACATAACGATTTGCAGAATTCCCAGGACTAAAAAATCCCAGTTTAAATCTTTTGCCACTCGAAAAGACAGTTCCCGAGTCCCTCAGGGGCTCACTACTGGTAATGATGTCTGAAGCACTGGCACCAGAAAAGACTACGTAAAAGCAACTGAGCAAAAGAAGAAATGATCGATAGAAGCTCATACTGATTTCTTTTCTGCCAAAAGGGTCAGTCTATCATTTGAAATTTAATATGAGAAATTCAAAAGTGACCTTTTTTAGCCACGAAAATAAGATTCTTGGATACTAATATTTCTCTTCAGTTTACTTGTCAACCAGGTATCAATTAATTGTTAGACCCGTGTTTTCCAGAGTAGTTATGTGCATTTTAGTACCTTTGATTCTGCAAAATTTCTTGGGCTGATGTTGCTTAAACTCTGAGAATTGAAAAGCGGAACGATCTTGTGTCACGTTGAATTTGATGGTTCATCTTTTTTTCTATGGGTTTCCTTATTGACTCAATGAAGCACCAACCGTATCTGCTAATTCTGGAAGATATTTTAAGTGGGGATATTTACTAAAGGAAATATCATTCAGGAAAGTGGTCTCTCCTCCATGTAAAAGCTTAAGATAGTGATATCTGTCAGATTTTTAGCTCTAAGTTTGTTTTTTTTTTACTATCTCTTTTCAATTTGATGAGTGTTGGCGTCTATTGAGAATTGGTATCCTATAAAATATTTTGTGGCCTTAACTGTTGAAAATATTTTTCTCCAACTGAGTTATAATGACTTCCTCATATACAATGTATACAAAACCATGGACATATTTGGTCCATCTGTTCTTCTGCATTTTCTTGACCACATAATAGTCCAATCGGAGAAGAGTCTAAAATATCCCATAAATTATTTGAATTGGTATAAAATTACCGTCCATCCAACTTTTGGGCTTCCAAATACCCGTGATGTCAACCTTTTGGCTCAACAATACCCTTATGTTTAGCGAATCATTACTTGTAAGGTAGATGAAGGGCAATATTGTACCAGATTCTTTTGTTTAAGGGCATTTTAGGGCCTTTTCCATTAGAATAATTTGAAATTACTTAATATATGAGCTCACATGATTGACTTGATTTTAAGTTTCATAGTAAATTAAAAATAATAAATTGGGGTTGGCTTAAAATAGGTCAATAGGAAGATATCATGAAATCAATATTTTTCAATATTATTTCGAGTGTATCATGTCAAAATACGAATCATACGTGATTTTACAAAAAAAATAAAAATTAAAAATATGGTTTTTGTTATTTATTTGAAAAGGGTTTAAATTTGAACTGATCACATTAGGCAATATAATAAATAAATATTTAATAATTTTACGTTAAGGGAGCTATTAAAAATAAGGACAAATATGGGCAAAGGATTAACATCAAGGGAATTTTTGAGCCAAAAGGTAAACGTTAGGGGTATTTTAGGGACAAAAGGTGGATGAAGGATAATTTTATATCAATTCAAATATTTGACGGGCATTGCCCTTCTCCGTAGTCCATATGTGACCATTTCAAATTTCCCTGTCAAACTGCAAGTCTATTATCTTGGGGTCCACCAGTTTGACAATCTTGTTTCCATTCCTGAAATACTATGCCTGAAGAGCAACATTGACAAAATAATAACAAATTGAGCTACGGAAAGTTGACGTTTCATTCTTCATAACTATAAACATCTGATTTTTCTGAGAAACTTCCTTTCATTTGCCTGTTCAGGCACCATGTAACCACAACATCATATAATAATTTTGGATGGTTACTTATTGTCTCATGTAAGATAATGAAATAGTGAAATAATATAAGAACTAACTTCCTTCAACAACCCCACTGGCTGTCTCCTTCTAAAAAATGAAATTGAGAGAATGATACACCTGATGTTGGTGGTCAGCACAATCCTTCCAATGCCCAAAATCTGAAACATTAGAGTACAGTTTTTCATCCAAAAGAAATGTTGCTTACATTCAAATCTTCTCAATAATCTTTTGTCTGAAATGAATTGGGGTCCTTTTTACTGGTGGGTGCTCAGCATAAAAGAAATTTGTATTTTGAACTCCAAATTCAGATATGTAATACCCTTTGGCAACGAAACTAACTTGTTAATCTCTTGACTGAAATTCTCGCTGCTAAAGGACTCAGCTCGGTTTAAACTTCTCTTGGATTCTAAATGTAGAATCACATACAAGAATAATTACAGGAAATGAATAAGATATATGCCTACACTAAAATTATATGATCTCTATCGTGCTTCCATAATAGTAATGCTAACATCGTTCACGGAGACTTGAATTCTAGAGGAGCCTTTCTTGGAAGGGGTCGGTCTTGTTGTAAATGCAGGTTGTTTAGGACTTGGTAAATCATCAATTTCCCGGGTGAGCATAGACAAAACTGTGGAGACATTTGGCCTGTCTTCTGCATATTCTTGTACACATAATAGTCCAACATGTACACATCTATGAATCTCCTTTTTGAGCTGTAGTTCAATTATCTTGGAGTCAACCAATTCGACAATCTTATTTTCATTCCACAACTTCCATGCCTGAAGAGCAAGAGTATTGACTATGAAAGGTTGACATTTCATATGAAGTGGAGCTTAGTTTTCATAAAAACTTACCCATGCTAGAAGGCTTAATGCACCATCCTCTTGGTAAAAGCTAGTGTTCCTCCTTCCGCTAATAATTTCCAGTAACAATACGCCAAAGCTGTAGACATCTGATTTTTCTGAGAATCTTCCTGTCATTGCATATTCAGGTGCCATATAACCACTGCATCACATTATAAATTTGAACGATTACTTTTTCTTTTCATTTTAACCATGAATAAAATGGAGAATGAGATTCACAAACATACTAGGTTCCAACAACCCTAATTGTATTGGCTTGATCTTGGTTGCCTGCAATAATTCTTGCCATACCAAAATCTGAAATTTTAGGGTTCAGATATTCATCCAACAAAATGTTGCTTGCCTTTAAATCCCTGTGGATAATCCTTAGTCTTGAATCCCTGTGAAGGTATAGGAGGCCTCGGCCGATTCCCTCAATGATGATCACACGTTTGCTCCAATCAAGGAAGTATTCCTCTTCAATGTGTACACCTGTAAGTACATTGAAAATGTATCAGTTCGATTTTTTTTCTTTTTTAGTTAGACCATACTGAATAGTGAATGTAAAGAAAAGGAATAAAAGAAAAAGAAACCAACCAAAGAGATAGGCATCCAAGCTTCTTTTTGGCATGTATTCATAAACCAACATCTTCTCCCCTCTTTCTATGCAGCAGCCGAGGAGTCTAACAAGATTACGATGCTGAAGTTTGGAAATCACCACAACCTCATTCATGAACTCCTCTTGCCCCTGACCAGAAGACTGTGAAAGCCTTTTCACAGCAATTTCTTGTCCCTCTGGAAGTTTTCCCTGCAGTTATATCAAATGACTTCAATTTCTTTTCTGAAAAAAAAGATAACAAAACGCTCAATCAAACACACAAACATTACTTTATAAACTGAACCAAAACCACCCTGCCCAAGCTTGCTAGACAGATGAAAATTGTCAGTTGCATTTGCTAGCATGTCAAAGCTGTATATCGGAAGATCTTCAAATTTAACTCTGTTAATGTCATCTCTAGCCAAACTTAGCTTGTAATAGCTTGGAAATGATTTTTTTGATAAGAGCTCACGCTTTCTCTTCCTTCCTGATTCAAAATACACATTGAAAGATCAAATCATTTGTCTGATTAAAGCTGCTGTAGATAAGCTTGATACCTACCTCTATGTTTAGCCAACAGTTTGCTGGAAATGTATCCCAAGATGGCAATGACTATTGTGCAAATTATTGGAACTATGATCCTGATGGCTACTTTATTGCTCTTCTTTTTTTCTGCGTTTCAAAATAAGTGTTCATTATTACAATTGCATTCGACATGCAGAGAACAAGTAAACATACATGTTGTTTTCTAGACAGTAAGCTAAAGAATGAAAACTTAAGTGTAAAGAGGTAGTACCTTGTTCAGTATATGCAAGGCGAATGAATAAATCAGCCCCACCCTTGGAGAATTTCTGAGAATCAATTAAGCTCCCTTCCCAATGCATACACCCTATGCCTCTGTAGTATGAATAAGCTATGCAGGAGAAATTTCTGAAGCAATCACTTTCACAGTCTTCTTTGGCTGAAGGTACCCAAATAGGATAATCTGGCACTTTCATCGACTGCAACTTCAAAAACCAATCTTGCTTACCCTGCTCAATGTTAGAGTTGTTTCTTTCTTTCTCTAACACTGTCTTTCTGATGCATCCATTTGTCCAGTTTCCTTTCACCCACTCCTCTTGATTTTTTGGTTTAAACCCTTGCAAACAACTGCAAATTGGTGAACTTTCAGAATCACAGCTTCCAAAAGGTCCACACTTTCTATAAAAATCACACTCATTTGATGGAGTTGCCCATGTGACTTCCCACTCATTCTTCCTAGCATATAAATATTTTTGTTGCAGAAATCCTGTTGAGTTCAAAACTAAGTATAAAATGTCATCACCTTGATAATATGAATAGTAGAAGTAGGTGGTGCCCATGTTGTCATTTACTAGCTCAAATCCACTGAAATAGAAAGAAGTCATGTTTGGTACTCCAATAAAAACCTGTTTATCCCATGGACCGCTACGCCAATGAGGTAAGCCATTCTTCCATATGAAAATCTGAGGAATTGTTTCAGTCTGAATACCAGCTGAGAAACTCCCATCAGATGGATCTACAGGACTTCTCCATGATTTCAACAGATTTGTGGTGTTAGTACTCTTATCAGTGCCAAGTTTCATGTTCTGCAAGTAGGAATCTGAAAGATCACTAAAACTTTCCCATAGAACTCTCTCACTTGAGTTGTCCTTCAAAACTAAGTTTCCAGTATCCAAGAGCTGGGCTGTAGAATTCCTCACAGCAGGTGAAATATTTGATGACCATACACTCTTTCCCTGTCCATTCAAGATTACAAGATTGCCATCTTCTGATATTGTTACTCTTCCACTAGAATCTTGTAAAGGCTGGTCTCTGTTGGCTACCCATATAACAGATTGTGATTTCATATTAAACATGATACCAACATAACGATTCGCCGAATTCTCAGGACAAAAAAAAACCAATTTGAATGTTTTGTTATTAGAGACTAAAGTTTCTGAATCTTGCAGAAACTCATTAATACTAATGGAGTCTGATGAAGCATTTGTTATAAGAAAAAACAGAACAAGAAAAGCACAACAAAGAAGTATATTCTTACAGCTTAAGCTCAGCTTCATTTCTTATCAAGTTTTCTTCTCCCAATAAGCACTAGAATTGTAGTTATCATCTGAAATTGATTTTCCTATAGTTGCAGTATTTGTTGATATTTTCCCACTGTTTGCTCAATAGTATCATTTTTTATCTTAATTTGCCAACAACTATCTGGATCAGATGCCTTGATTGACCCGTCATGTTACACTTGGGTGATAACTAAAATATTTTATCATTATTATTCAACTTAGGATGGTAACAAACCACATCAGCGTTATGGAGACTTCCATACTAATTAGAAATGTCAAGAATATGATGTTTCATGGTCAATTTTAAGCTGTCATAATATAGGATTTGTCAGTATTTAGATTCAACCTCTTTATTTAAACATGTAGTTCAAATGTCAAGTTATTTAGAAAGATATATTATTGAATTAGGCAGTGGGCAGAAAGATCCTTCACCTAGAATAAGATTGTCTACATAATCTCTGCACCATTATATGACATAGGTTAGGCATCTTCCTGGAAAAGGCCATTTGAAAGCCAGTTATATTATTAGGTAATGTTTGAATTGAGAGGTGTGGTAATGGTCAATAATGCTTCATTTTGTTTCCCTTTTATTTGGGTGTGTATTTGACCAAAATCTTACAACTTAAAAAAAAGTGATGTGCATCACGAATTAGATTGCGAATGATAGGACACTATAGTTCCAATTAAGCCAATTGACGTTATTCAAGTTTCCAATCTAATTGATATAAATGCTGGGAGGATCAACTGAAACTTGACAAAAAAGGTTGTTACAATTTAAGTTTCTGAGTATGTTCCAATGTCACTTTATGATTGGATTCCTGATCTGCTTGATTTTCTGTACACTAGCTAGGGAAATTTATGTAGATGGACAAAGTTGCAAGAAAATGTAGGTTGATATACTTGAAGTATTTGAATTGAAAAAATTTCACAATAAAAACTTACTGCTACAAGACTTCAACCAATTGAAATGATAAGGATGAAACTTTGAACATCTCTTTTCCTAATTTGTTTGTTACAAAATTGCTTTTGTATAATTAGAAGAACAGATGATAAAATCATAATTGAGTATTCTGTGAATTTCTTTCCCCAGGCAAATAATTCATTCTATCTGACTCGGAGGTTTGGTATTAATAAACCTCATATAAGCATTTGATCTAATATGAACAGTGAGTAAAAGTTGATTAAATTCTTAAATTTTATTGAACTCTGGAGATATCAAACAAAAATAATACAGAAGCTTGAATGAAGGGATTAGATCCACCTCTGCCTCCGAATTTGGTAGTCGGACATGAAAAGCTGAACCAAATGTCCTTTCTGGAGATTACAAAAGGTCAGTATTTTCCTCTTACTTTTAATTTGCCTAATTTTTAAGATTTAATAGCAATATTAGCAAATGGGGGGAGTGTTGTGATAAAAAATTGTCGCTTAAAGTATGATTTTTAGCCATGGGAAGGAATTGCTCGGAAATCCATCAATAAAAATTTTGCTGCTCCTTTTCTTTTCCTTTTTTGTCCTTTATTTTGTTTATGTTGCCGGGAATTAGCTGGAAGCCCGAGGGGCCTCGAACTCCAAGTTTTGATCTTACTCATAAAAAGAACAGTTTTCCTTGGAAGATAACTCTTGATCTAACATTCTGCATTAAGTATATAAAATATTCACATTGATATATGAAAGTATCTAGAGAATGTAAAAGAACTTGGATACATCACCTCTTACTCACTCTTTTAATGTTAATAGGTTGAAAGAGTAGATTATTTCACATATTTTTACCAGTTGCAGTTTGTAGAATATTTTTCTCACTCTGGTAAGTTTACAATCCAAAAATCAAGATTACAAGTGCAAGAATATTACTAGGATTCTTCATTATAATATTTAGTAAAGGCATCAGCAGAATAATAGGTATATTAACAATTTTAAGGAAAGGATTAATCCTTGCCTGGATTTTGAAAAATTTACATGCTATCTCAGAAGGTTTCTTGTCGTTTGTTACCTGTGGTACTGCAAATATTCTTGGGCTGACGTGACTTGAATTCCAAGAACAAAAGTGGTGCAAGATTTCACATCATTTCAGCAATTTCTGATGTGAATTGGATACATGTTACCCTTTCCTACAGGCTTCCCTGTTGATTCTGTGACCCTCCAACCACAATGTAAGAATGCCTTTGTCTAGAAAAGTTGTTCATCTTCAGATTCAGCTGTAATACAAAGCTAACTCTAAATGATCTCAATCCGTGGATAGGATTCTCTAAAGTTCTGCAAACACCTGTTTAGGCTACTTATTGACAACTCTGAGTTTGAAGTCTAGCTTTGCTTCTTCTTTCTTGGATATCGGTTCTGCTATTAAGCATAAGTGACTTGCAGGGTTAACACTTTTCCCTTGGATTCTTAATCTACTGAGGTAATATTCAGTGGAACCATTATAATAAATTAGACAGTCTTACACAGAAAATAAAACTATCATGCCTAAATAAAAATCTTATATGTCTTATCGTCCTTCCATAATAGTAACAGTAACATTGTTAACGGAGCCTTGAGATTTAGAAGTGCCTTTCTTGGAAAAGCTCGGTCTTGTTGTAAATGCAGGTTGTTTAGGACTTGGTAAATTATCAATTTCGCTGGTGAGCATAGACAAAATTGTGGAGACATTTGGTCTGTCTTCTGCATATTCTTGTACACATAATAGTCCAACTTGTACACATCTCACAATTTCCTTTCCAAGGTGCAGTTCAGTTATCTTGGGATCAACCAATTCCACAATCTTGTTTCCAATCCAACACTTCCACGCCTAAAGAGCATGCACATTGACAAAACATTGGAAACTTGAACTATGAAAAGTTTACATTTCATATGAATTGGAGCTGAATTTTCATAAAAACTTACCCATGCTAGCAGGCTTAATGCACCATCATCTTGGTGAAAGCTGGTGTTCCTCCTTCCACTTATAATTTCCAATAACAACACTCCAAAGCTATAAACATCTGATTTTTCTGAGAATCTTCCTTCCATTGCATATTCCGGTGCCATATAACCACTGCAATCATGTAATAAATGTTTACTTGGTGTATACATTTCATTCATGAAATATAAAAGGGAAGGATACAAGAACTTACTAGGTTCCAACAACTCTGCTTGTGTTGGCCTGATCTTGGTTGCCTGCAAAAATCTTTGCCATCCCAAAATCTGAAATTTTGGGGTTCAGGTATTCATCCAACAAAATGTTGCTGGCCTTTAAATCCCTATGAATAATCCTTAGTCTTGAATCCCTGTGAAGGTAAAGAAGGCCTCGACCAATTCCCTCAATGATGATCACACGTTTACTCCAATCAAGGAACTCTTCTGCTTGTTGCTGTGACCCTGAACATACATTGAGAATTTGACAAGTTTAGATCAAAGAAAAGTTTGGTTTAGTTAGACTCTATGGAAAATAAAAGAAAACTAATCATAACGAACCAAAGAGATAGGCATCCAAGCTTCTTTTTGGCATGTATTCATAAACCAGCATCTTTTCCCCTCTTTCTATGCAGCAACCAAAAAGTCTAACAAGATTACGATGTTGAAGTTTTGAAATCACCACAACCTCATTCATGAACTCCTGTAGACCCTGACCAGAAGATTGGGAAAGCCTTTTCACAGCAATCTCTTGTCCATCTGGCAATTTCCCCTGCAATTATATCACATGCTTAGATATCTTTTCTTAAAAACAATTATAAGACACTCAATCAAACAAATCCTTACTTTGTAAACTGGACCAAAACCTCCCTGTCCAAGCTTGCTGGACAGATGAAAATTCTCAGTTGCATTTGCTAAGATATCAAAGTTGTATACAAGCAGTTCTTCCAATTTAGCTTGATTGATGTCCTCTGTAATCTTGTCTTCCTTGTAATAGTTTGGCGATGATTCACTTAAGAAAATCTTACTCATTCTCTTCCATCCTGATCCAAAGGACATTAGAGATAAAGTGATTCGTATGATTAAAGCTACTATGGATTTTCTAATGTTTGAGATAAGCTTGTTACCTCTGCGCTTAGCTACATATTTGCAGGAAATGTATCCGAAAATGGCAAGAATTATCGAGCCTACTGGGACTATGATGGCAATGATAACTTTATATTCTCTCTTTTGATCTGCATTATGAAATATGTGTCCATTATACATATGTCATTGGCAAGCAGAGTTTTATAGCTTATATGTCGTTCTGGAATACAGGTCTTACCTCGCTCAGAGTATGAAAGGCGAAGGAATAAATCAACCCCACCCATGGAGAATTTCTGAACATCAAGTAAGTTTCCTTCCCAATGCATACATCCTATGCCTGTGTAGTATGAATAAGCTATGCAGGAAGTATTCCTCAAGCAACCGTTAACACAATCTTCATCTACAAAAGGTACCCAAATAGCAGAATCCGGCACTTTCATTGACTGCAGCTTCAGAAACCAATCTTGCTTCCCTTGCTCAAGGTTAGAACTGTTCCTTTCGCTCTCTAACATGGACTTTCTGTTGCATCCACGAGTCCAGTTTCCTTTCCGCCATTCCTCTTCATTTGTCGGTTTAAATCCCTCTAAACAAGAACAGATTGGTGAGCTTGTAGGATCACAGCTTCCAAAAGGTCCACATTTTCCATAAAAATCACACTCAGTTGCAGGAAATTCCCATGTTACTTCCCAGTCATTCTTACTAGGATCCATATATTTCTGCTGCAAAAACCCTGTTGAGTTCAAGGTGAAATACATCAGCTCAACCTGATTTGCATATAAATAGGTAAGGTAGACGGTGCCCTTGTTGTCATTTACTAGATCAAATCCATTGAGATAGAACGAAGTCATGTCTGGTACCCCAATGAAAACCTGTTTATTCCATGGACCGCTACGCCAATGAGGTTTCCCATTCTTCCATATGGAAATCTGGGGAACTGTTTCAGGTTGAATACCAGCTGAGAAACTCCCAACAGATGGATCTGAAGGACTTATCCATGATTTCAGCAGATTTGTCGTGTTAGTACTAACATCAACGCCAATTTTCATGGTCTGCAAGAAGCAATCTGAAGGATCCCGAAAACTTTCCCAGAGAACCCTCCCATTGGAGCTGTCGTTCAAAATTAAGTTTCCAGTATCCAAGAGCTGCGCTGTAGAATTTCTCACAGCTGGTGAAATATTTGATGACCATATACTCCTATTCTGTGAATTCAAGATTACAAGATTTCCATCATCAGATATTGTCACTCTTCCTCTAGAATCCTGTAAAGGTCTCTCTCTGTTGGCAACCCATACTACAGTTGGTGGTTGGACATTAAACATAACACCAACATAACGATTCGTCGAATTTTCAAGACTAAAGAACCCGAATATGAATCTTTTGTCATTGGAGACTAAAGTTTCTGAATCTCGCAGGAATTTATTGGTGCTAATGATACCTGAAGCAGTTGATATAGAAAGAAACAGAACAAGAACAACTGGAAACAGAAGTATCTCTCTTGTGCTTAATTTCATTGCTTATTAAGGTTTGTTTTGCATGTGTGGATTAATTCTGTATAAGCTAAAATGGAGAATACCTATATCTGCAGCCTGCAATACTATTTTCGTGATATTTGCTCACACTTCTTTCTCTTTTCGGTATGCTTGACTGTTATCTTTTGTGTTTGTCAGCTGTTGGTGTAGATCAAATGCATTGGCTGAGGAGCCGTCAAGTTGGAATTTCTGCACTTTGATTATAATAAGGTACTTGCCCATTAGCTCACAAAGACTAACCAAACCAAATCAACAGTTTGGAAACTTCTATACAGGTATGAACATACAATGTCAACAAGTATATTCTTCCCCATGTGAATACAAATGGCAAAACTTACTAGTACCTCTCCGTTTCAAGCAAGTTGATGTCGACTATATGAATCTCACTAATCATTTAAATTAATCTCTTAAGTCAACATCAATTATTTAAAAAAAATACAAAAAGTAAATTGATTTTTTTTATTTTAAAGTAAATTGATTGAACATGGTATTGTAAATGTCGCATGATCAAGAAAGGGTGGGTATATTGACTGGACATCCTTCACATAAAATGAGATTGTCAACGGAATCTCTGTATCATAACATAATATGGGTGGGAAACTTCGTAAGGAAAGGTATGTAAAAGTCAAAAAAGAATTAAGGGTCAGAAGAATTGACAAAAAGGGTGATTAGAGATTTGAACTAATGATGGTGTGTTTGGTACAAAGGACAAGTAAGTTTTTTTATTTATTTTCTACTGATAGATGAGTAAAATAATATTATCTTAAAAGTGTTTATAAACTTATATTTTCCTAAAAGTACATGTAAATACTTTCTCATCTTTAATGACCTTTAACTTTATCGTCTTAGTTACCCTACTCTTTCTTTTTTCAATCTTTTTCTGATGATATTTTTCTTAGTCAATGAGTTGAACTTTTCGATTAATAATAATAATAATATTTTTGGTGGTCAAACTCAATATGGATTATAATTCTAACAATTCGGATTACTGATCCTCAAAATCTATATTGTTATCTTTTATATAGTGGATTTTATTCTCTTCGTGTATAGCGTGTCTTGTAAATATCGTTTCTTTAAGAGAATGCAATATATTTTACCAACATAGTAATCTATTATTTGCAAAACATAAAATAATGCTAATAAAAGAAATTGAAATTTAAAAGGATATAGTATTATTTAAGACTTTAATACCTTTTAGTGTACGGTATCTCGTGAAATTATTCTAGGTATCTGTAAATTGACCTGAACACTATGACTCTAAAAGCAATCGTTATAGCTATTTGTTTTGTCAAATCCAAATATTCTTTTAGTTAAAATTAAATACAAATTAGTCAATTTTCTATGAGGTAAAACTCACATGTGAAAGTAAAACACTTGCCCTAAAAGCAGATTTGGATACTGCTATCTGCAAAATTACCAGAATCATGAATTCATGATGATCGTAATGATAAAAAATAAGAATATCTTCGAAAGAAGAAAGAAATGGGAACATTGGTCTACGGATTTTTTTGCACTTGGTCTTTTAAATGATCTAAATTTATTGTCCTCTAATAATTGCGATCAAAAAAAAATTTTATAGAAAAAATTATGTGATTAAGAAAATTTATACTATTTAATTACTCATTATAGCTATAGTTTGGTATAATTAGCATTCACGACTAACAATATAAATTAATTACGTGGGCTGACTTCGAATTTGTATAATTAGTCACATTTTTATATGTATAATTTTTCAGAATATACAATTATATATGTATAATATACAATTATCTAATCAATATACATATACAATTCACATCTCTCCCACTCTTTGCCCTCTCTTGCTTCTCTCTCTCCCAGACTCACTCACCTCTCTCTTCCCTATAACATATTTTCACGAGTTTTAATTATCAAACTATAGCTATAAAGAGTAATTAAGTTATTTTTGAGTGGCTATATATGAAAGTTTCTCGGGAAAAAAAATCGTATTTGTAACTAACTGTGACAAGTATCACGTCTCTAAATTGCTCAGTTTGCTTGAGCCCATTCTCGACTGAGCCCATTATAACCAAAGGAGGCCCAAAATATGAATCCCAAAAAAAGGGAAAATTACATAGGTTGGCAAACATCCTTAAGTAATTATATAATAAGGATATAGTTTAATTTATTTACTTTCTATGATTATAGTTTTTTTTTTTTGCCATCATTAATGGGATCCATCATCTATTCCTAAATCAACCGTAAAAAATCTTTATTTTGATTTTATATATAATTTTATACAAATCAATATTATCTCTCCTATTTATATTCCACCCCTTTCTCCTATAATCACTCCTTCTATCCAATTTTGAATTTCAAACAAAAAAAATCACTTTCTCAATTCAACTTTAGCAGGTAACCCCTAAAATCTATGCGTGTATCAATTGTTTTTATTTTTTCATTATTCAACAATTGTATATGTATTTTGTTTCTTACCTTTTTCATATTTTTTTTGTTGAAATAATCAATAATTCTTATTAAATTATAAATTTTTCAAAATCGGAATGGATGAATCATCTTCATCTATGAGAATTATCAGAGATATTTCATTGCATGTCAATATTGTTGACGATCGTTTTTAATAGATTTAACTCAAGATTTTGGGGTTGATGTAGCGTCTATGGCAAATCCAAACAAGTTCAAGTTAAAAAATCAAAGGAAGAATTGAGATCCAAAAAAAAAATGACTCAATGGCAATTCAAAAAGTTGTTAACAATGTCATAGCTAGAGGTATTAAAATTGTCGAAGAAAGAACAAAGAAGAAAAAACTAACCAGTGATTCAGAGGATGAGGTAGTGGCTTAAAACACAATTTTAGATAGAATATTTTGTTACTTATGTGTCGATATACAAAAATTGTTTGTTTAAGTAATGTTTGTATATTCACATAATTGTATATAGTATATTGCATGTTTAATACACACATGTTTAGTTATATGTATCTTCCCTTAGTTATATGTATATTCCGTTAGTTATTGTACGAATTTGTATATTCGATTAGTTTATACAGATTCTTTAATTTATGTATATAATGACTAGTATACTAAGTTAATAGGGGGTAGTAGTGAATTGTATCTTAAAGGCTCCTTTTTGTTTTTGTTTTTGTATATATATACAAAAATCAATTGTATTTTGTTATAGGAATATGCCTAATTTATAATTGTATATTATAATTTTATATTTTAGTAGTTATATACAAAATACTGGAGTTAAGTATATATCAAGCTTGTATATTAATGTAGTATATACAAAGTCGTTTAGACAAATTACAAAGTATATAGGGGGTTGTATATTAAGGTAATATATACAAAGTATTATGAAATAGGTCTTAATTGTATATTTTATTAGTTGTATATCAATTACTAAAGTTAAGTATATAGTGGGTTGAATATTAGGGTAATGTATACAAAGTCTTATGAGTCAATATCTATTTGTATACAATTATTTAATTTTCTATAGAAGAAATTTGTTAAAATCACTCTATAATACATATACAAAATTATAATACATTATACAAATTCGTCGATATATACAAAAAATTATGAACCTTAATAAAATATTGTATATATAAACGTTACACACTCAAATGTAAAAACAGATTTCAAGCTTACTATATATACGATTAATAAATGAATATTATACAATCAATTTAATCATTAATATTTTTTTAAAAAAAAAACTTGAAATCACAGATGCACATCTATAACAGTAATATATATATCAAAATTATTGTACATTCTACAAATTCCTAAAAGAAATTGAGAAAATATTTGACTTTGAACTGGTATTGTCTTTCTATAGCTTTAGAATTCTTTTTTTGGAAAAATATTTGATTTTGAATGTTTTGCTTAAATCATGGTTGTTACCATCTTTTGTGCTACTGTTACCATTTATTAAAAAATAATTTTTTGTATAAATTTAATTAAAAAAACTTTTTATACAAATTTGAAGTCACTTAACAAACTAAACTATATCCATGAAATGTAATTATTTAAACTATACCCACAAAATGTAATTTCATAAAATATGTTTGCCATATATGAAATTTCCCCTTCTATAAAACTACTCTTTGGCTGGGATTGCCACCTCTTTCCTTCTTCAATTCTCAAATCGACATTCACACCATCCATGGAAGCTCTCGCACATATATTTTTTTTACAAGAAAAAATTATCCTTAAGCTCTGCGAAATGATTCAAATTTGTCTCTTAACTTTTTGAATTTATTTTTTCAGTCATCATCCACCATTGTTCTAAATCAATTACCACAATAAAAATTTTATTTATTTTTCACTCTCAAAAACACCACTTGAAGATCATTATTACCTATGGTCATATTTTTCTCTTGACAACAATCACATAACATACACACGGAAATTCACATAATTATTTGTAGAGCTTTCACATCACGTACTATTGATGAATTAAGAAGGATTAATAATTGAGTTAGATTGATGATCCACTTGTTCATGATTCGAATGATTTGACGCTTGGGAAGGTTGATTTGAGAGGATATACATATTACCATTCCATTAATTTGAATCTTTTCCTGGTACTCTATTTGTCCATATATGATTTTGACACAAACTTAATAAACAGTAAATAAAATTAAAAATTTACTTTATCCCTCGTTATAAGATACGCGAAATGATCTCATAAATCCTTATATTTGTTCGAATTTGTATTATGAATTCTTCTACTTAATTCCGTACTAATTGATTTTTGAACCCCTCCTAATTCACTTGCCCATAAATAGATAACAGGTCAAATCCATGTCACATAAATCAATAACATGTCATAATTATCTCTATTAATTATTTTTTAAAATTATTAATCCAAATGTTAAATGAAAAGACCAAATAAGATGCCCCTGTTCTTCTCCCCCAACCCATTCCACCGTGAAGTATCCCGAAGCCACCAGGAATTCACCGTCACCACTCTTCTTGCCGATGAGGTAATCTAGCTATTCTCTCTCTCTCTCAAACCCGTCATCTCCATCGAACACTCTCAATATTTTCTGTTCGTCCTTTTCCAATCTCCACAAAATCGGCAACCCTAGGTCGTCGCACTACTAATTTTGGCTGGCAAATCTTTTTCGCCGCTATGACCAACTCCTCGCACCCTCGCTGGCAACCAAGAGCCACTTATTCAAGTTATGTCCACTATGGCCTCCCACAGTCTCTTTGAAACAGAAGGCTTCAATGTCAATCCCTCTCTCATTCAGACGCCAAAAATGATTAAGATTTATGGATAATCGCTACCTCAAATAAATTATTTAAGATAATATTTCAATAAATTACTTTCTAATATTTTGGAGTGTAGGGAAGAAAGAAAAAAAAAGGATATGGAAGGGATTGGATTGTTGAAAAAGAAGGTGAAACGGAGAAGAACAAGATTTCTTTAAAAAAATTTATTATATTATCTTATTATAATTTTAACAACTCTTTTTTAATTAAAATATGATGTTCATTTGCGCGTGTAATCACACACTTCTGTCAACTCATTGATTTTAATGCCACATATGTTTGGTCAACAGTGAAAGGGGTTTGATATATTATGTTTTATTGAGTTTAAGATTCAGTTGATAAAACGTCAAGTAGAAGGGTTCAGAATACAAATGTATAGAAGTATAACGGTGTACCAAATCAGTTACTTCCTCTAGTCCATATTAACTCTACTATTGAGACTTTTTTTTCTAATTCAAAATAAGTAAATCATTCAAGTTCAACAAAATTATTGAGATTTTTTCCCCATACTTACCGTTTAGGTAATGACATTCTAAACCACTATATATTTTCTAAAACAATAGTTTGAAAATAATCAAATAGGTATTAGGTAATAGTGAAAAGTAACCTTCAGTTTATCATTTAATTATGAGTAGTACTTAATAATTAGGGCAAAACATGTATTAATGACAACTTCTCTCTTTATTTTTTCAAATTAGACTAGTAAAAATGATTAAATAGATTACTCAACTATTAGAATTCTATCTCAATTAATTTTATTCTTAACTTAGATTTTTAATTTCTCTTATAAATGACTTGATCAAATTTATCATTAAAAAAAAAACTACTCACTCCACACCATTAAAAATTTGGGTTTTGGTAACAATACCCCTTCACATTTTAATGAATAAAAATCAACCCTCAATTTGAATTCAAAATTTTCCCGCAGTTTAAAATAATAATGTTTTAAATATATTTCTTAATGTGTAATAAATTTGGACAAAAGTACTCATAGCGAAAATACAAAAACTTACTGGAATTTTTTGGAGTTTGAAATGTTCAAAATCCAGTAGCTTCTCTTGAACTTTTATGATGTTTCGTACTGCCTTGAAAATTTGGAGTTTATTTTATGATTCAGATAGATATACTTTTTCATACTGTATAATATCCAATAATATCCAAGTTGAGCCTACAGTGATTTCAAATTCGACGAGTCTGACTGACATCATAATTTTGTAGGCCAAAAAATATCAAGTCCAACTCATCATTTGGGCTGCCGCGGGGAAAATCGTGCTTTATAACAAATTATTAATTAAAAAATAAATGTTATAACTATAATTTCATTTAATTTAATTTCGCAGTAAATTTTTTGTTATTCGCCTCTCTCCCCGCTTTCTAGAATTTTGCTTATTACTGTCATCTTTTTTTCAGTCTCTCTCACTTTATATAAATACAAAGTTATAATTTGTGTTTGACTGTTTGTATAAGGCTTGAGATACTGTATATACAAATATACATATATCCATCTTATTCACTTATAATTATATAATTACAAATCTTTCTTTGTCAGTTTTCCTTTGTCTTTCTTTCTCTCGCTTTATACATAACACAAATGTATAATTTGTGTATGTGATTGTATAAGGCGAGAGAGACGGTATATATATACAAATATATATATATATACCGTCCTATATACTTATAATTATACAAATACAAATCTTCCCTTGTCCATTTCTCTTTTGCCTTTCTTTCTCTCATTTTATACAAACACAAATTGTATCATTTGTGTTTGTATCAAGCGACAGAGAGATTTGATATACAAATACAAATGTGTTAACTCGATTCAACTGTATACAAATTCAAATTTTATGCAGTTATACAAGCACAATAATGTATATACATATACAATTCACCTCTCTCCACTCTATGCCCTCTCTCTCTCGCTTCTCTCCTCTCTCTCCCAATATCGATCACCTTTCTAGCCTAACACAACTAATATAGACACATATACAAACACAATTTTTATAGACGTAAACGAATTAGTGCTCGATTTATGCAAATCGTCGCCGACTTATACAAATCAGATATTCCATAGTAAAAATAATTTGTCTATAAAGCAAAATTGTAACTATAGAGCTAATATTTTTATTTTTATTTTTCTTCAAAAATCATCACCTCGGATTGTGTATAGAGTGCTGATATGATTTTTATCTTTACTATTCCTAAAATTCTCTCTTTAACAAATATTAATAATTAAATTAGGGATCTCATAAGGTCACTGTATTTCAAATATAATTTAAATGAGATAATTTTTATAAGAACAAGATGTTGGGTGGTATGTGTTTTTCAAATTTCAAACGCAATTTCAAGTGATATATAAAATTTTGATGACCAAACGTTATTCTTTAATGATAACATTTTGTCCAGTAAAGATTTGATGTTTAAACATTAGAATAATGATTGTGGTCACCACAGCTCTATCCATCCAAAAAACAGCAAATTAATTTGAAAAGGAAATGATCAGTAAGATGTATATAGGGGAGGAATATTATATGGTGAAGGTGAATTAACTACATACCAAATGGAGTAGTGAATTAACGTTACATGAGTAGTATTATTTTGTCTGTTGGGACAGTCATAGGAAATTGCTAAAAAGTATTGTACTTCATCATCATCATATGAATAGATTATTATTTGGGTACTTTCCCATGCAACTTCCACGAAACTTGTCTTATGATATGACTATTTTTATCCTCATTATGTTCCTTCCTCTTAAATTTCCTCTTTTTTTTTTCTCTTCTTTTATATATATACCCAATGTTGAGTCATCTATTATTCATCAACTCATCTTTTGTACTAACAAAACATCGATAATATCCATTTTCGAAAATTCATCGTGTACGTTAATTAATTTTTAAGGCATGGCTACATTGGGACGTGACGTTGTGTTTGAGGATTTTTTTCCATCAATGATGGAGAAACTAGGGTCAGAAGGGTTCTTGAAGGAGCTAAAGAACGGGTTCCGGGCATTGATGGATAAGGAGAGGGAAGTGATCACGTTTGAGAGCTTGAAGAGGAATTCGGCGTTGTTAGGGTTAGAAGGAATGAGTGATGATGAACTAATGTGTATGTTGAGGGAAGGGGATTTGAATGGAGATGATTGCTTGAATGAGAAAGAATTTTGTGTGCTAATGGTAAGGTTGAGCCCTGATTTGATGGAAAAATCGAGAATGTGGTTCGCTCAGAGCATTGAAAATGATCTGATGTAGGCTCGTATTAGCATGTGCTTTATTGAGGGCATTCATTTTGAAGTAGGATTATTAAGCTATTCTAGCTAGGTCTATTAATTTCTATCTTGTTATTTTTTCCTCCTATGTATGTGTCGTCTAGTTTTATTATTAGTGAAGTTCATTGTTTTATTTGCCATTATTAATGTAGTTTTTTCGGAATTCAATGAAATTTTGGTTGTTAATCGTTACTCTATTCTTTCAAATTTTATCTCGTGATGTTTAGTTTAGTTTCCAAAATAAAAAAATAAGTTTATTGACACATAAACTGTTATAAAATACCAAATTTCCTACAAGAGTGTTAGTCAAAATATATATTATTTATATTAAGGAAATCCACTTAATATGTATAAATAAATTATTAAAAAAATCTAATAAGTCAGTTTTTTTTCTATCCGAAATCATATACTCAAATTTCTAAATTTGGCCTACTATAGACTATGTACATGTTCTTTCCTGTTCTCTTTCCACATAAAATGTGAATTTTCATATGAAAAATGAATCCTAATTGTCGTTTCTCATATAGATATGTGACATTTTCTCAAAACATATCGAAAATAAGATTAGTTTTAGGCCAACAATATGCTAAAACTTTGGTTCTTTTTGTGCAAAACGCACAGTAATGACTGGGCCCCTGGATTGGATGGCAACTAAAATATTTTTTCAATAATTACAAAAAGGTGGCATTTGTGAATAGGACTCATCATGATATACTAAAATTGAAAACTGAACAACTGATTTATTAAGTATTATTTTTTAAAAATAAAAAATGGGGTAGGGAAAATAGAAAGGGGATTATAAGGTGGGGAATCTGTGAAATTAGGTCTTAGGCCTAACTCACACCCCAAAAGCTAATTTGATTTTGGGGGCCCCAACATCGAGTGAGATGGACCCTGCTCTGATACCATGTAAAATTAGGTCTTAATCCTAACTCACACCCCTAAAGCTAGCTCCAAGGGAGGAAGATTGTCCAAGTCTTATAAAGAGTCCACCCATCTCATCAACCACCGATGTGGGACTTTTTGTCATTCTTTAACAACCCATTTCACACTCAGTGCTTAGCATCTAGTGCGTGGACAATTTTGATTTTGGGGGTCCCAACATCAGGTGAGACAGACCCTGCTCTAATATCATGTGAAATTAGGTTTTAGGTCTTAGGCCTTACTCACACCCCAAAAGCTAACTCTAAGAGAGGAAAATTGCCCAAACCTTATAAGGAATTCACTCATCTCATTAACCACCGATGTGAGACTTTTGTCCTTCTTTAACAGAATCGAATCCTCGTGTATCCATCGAACAACCAATTATTAATCTGAACTCTCTGATATATCTAATCCGAATATTGGTTAACGGAAATTTTAATAATTCTAATTTCTGAAGATACTAGTAAATTTTATTGTACATTGTTGAAGAATTTTTTTTTCTCTAATTGTGAGGAATTTAATATTTCATATCATAGTATATAATTAAAAGAATCCAAGGTATAGGTTGAGAGTGATCATTAGTTATTGCAATGTATTTCAACTTGTGCCAAACATAAGGAATCCTTGTATTAGAATCTTTGTGCTAACGAAAGAAAGATTTATTCCAAGAGAAGGAAGCACTATTTTTTTGGCTCCAAAGACAAAAATAATAGGATTACATTGATTATGTAACATGCTAACAGAAAATTTAGATTAATAAAAATTGGACTAGCCAGTATTAGCCTGTTGTTCCAACAATGTAAATTGGGCTAGTATCCATTAGAATAAGGCTTTATTCTATGGGCCAACCAATATGTTTTGACCGCGTTTTGCATTAATAGGATGTGCCTTGGGAAAATTATGAAATATGACAAAAATGTCAATATATTTATGGAAAACATGTATAGTTTAACAAAAGATAAATTTCAGGAATTACATTGTTTTTTGAGGAAAAATTATTTGAATAGATACCTTTTAATAAATAATTACTAATTTTAGCGATACTTTTTATTTATTATTATTTATAGCATTACATAATAATACTATATTAAATCTGCAATATGTATTAAAAGTAAATTATGTATGCAATATATATGTATTATGATTGTTTTTAAAAAAATATATTATGTTTCTTTGGTAAGAATTTGACACATTGTATTATAAGTGTATTAAAATGCGTGATAAATTTATTATCCATCAATAAAACTTGTATTAAATGTGAATAATAAATTGTTCTTTATAATATGTATTAAACTTGTATTATAAATGAATTAAAAGTGATCAAGTGAAAAAAAAGTTTATTGCTATAAACGGTAAATATTTTTTAATTATAGTATATTTATGTAAGTTTCGCTTTTTAAGGAAAAATTACAATTTATCCCTCTTTAGTTTGTAATAACATTAATTGCTTAAAAAGTAACACAAAGAAGATACATTAATATGTAGCTCGGTACATTAAAAAGTATCTTGGATACAATATAACATAAATCAGATACATAATATATAGTTCGAATACATTAAAAACTAGCTCAGATACATAATATGTAGCTTGATACAATATAAAATTAGCTCGGATACATTAAATACTGGCTCGAATTCATTAAAGAAATAGGGAATTTTAGAGGTTTTAGAAATATTCACTAATTTTTCCTACAAGTTCTTGTTATAGCAAACTCTATCCCTTGCCTCTCCCTCTCTCTCGCCCGAAGAAATTCGTTTAAATGTATTATATATCAATTGTATTCAATAAAATATAACTGAGAGTTTTGTACTATTTTATATTAATTGTATTCAAAAAATTATATTTATATTTTTGTATCAAGTGTATTTGTATTCGTATAAATACAATATGTGTTGGCCTCTCTGTATTATGTATCGATTGTATCGGATCAAAGAGAGGATGAATAGAGTTATGTTAATTGTATTTCCAATACAATTAATACAGAATACAAAATAATTATGTATAAAATAAATTTAAAATATTTTTTCCCCTTCCTCATTCAATCTCCTCTGCCTCTATCCTCTTAATATGTAATTATGTTGATACAAATCAGATTGTATTTGTATTTTTCGCTAAAATTCGCAAACAAATGTAAATGCACAGCAAATTAAAATATAACTATGAATTGTAATTAGTGAAATAGTAACTATGAATTCCTAGCGTAATGTTCGTTGTTTTTAAAAGTTTCCCAAGTAATTTTAACTCCACCAAGAAAAGATCTTGCAAACAAAGATTTATTGCCATAATTTTGTACCAAAATCCCGGTGAATCACCAAGATTTTAAATTTAGGTTAAGATATGTTTTGTTACAAATATTCAATAATTGCTAAATCTTGACAAATGGACAGAATTTTTTTGACTACGTATTCTGGTGAATTTCAAATTTGATGAAAAGACTTATCTCGGCATAAATCTTCATAGCTTCACCAGAATTTATGGTCAAATCTTGATGGTTCATCAAAATTATGACCACAAAATTTTTATAAATCAACAGAAATGACTAATAAAATCCCGATGAACATTATATTTTGTGTTAAAATAAAATTATTTAAACATATTTTTATGTCAGAATCGATCCAAATCAATTTCACATGAATCTAAATTTGATTGTACAATCTTCTAATACCAATTCTAACAATTATCAATTGTTGTATTCAATCTAAATATTAAACAATCAATTTATCCCGTTTGTCTTTTTTAACAATTTTCTTAAGCTCAACAAAATTAACCATGGTGAATGGTATTCTTCATTTTTTACCCACAAAACCAATAGAAATCGTGATTAAGGATAGATAATAGAAACTTAACTCAACATTACCCACTCAATTTCAACCACAATTAAGGAGGACGGGGAGGGGAAACTAGAGAAAAATGAAATATGCTGGCGAAACTCTATGCTTCGCACAAATATTTTCTTAACATGACAAAAAAATTAAAAACAACCCTAGATTTCCCTTTATTCAAATAAAAACCATTAGCGTCAAATGCATAACTTTTTGTCAAGGGTGTCAAATTTTAAATTCATTGTATGTCTTTTAAATAAATAATTTGACATATATATTATTCCTACGTATCCCCTTTTTGTAAGATTTATAACTGCCGACCAACATGGACATAGGTATTTTTTTCTCTTTTTACGTGTTTTTAATTCTTCCCCTGTTTATGTACATTAAAACATGAGGTTCTGATCTTCCTTATATTTAAAGGCAAAAAAACATGATATTATTTTGACTTAATACCTATAATAAAGGGGAAAAGAGAAAATTTCAAAAGTGTCATTATAAGAAAGCAATTGTTTCCCTTAATTTCGATATTTCGGTTTAGTCTAAGAAAGCAAAAGAATCACGTTGTTTGCTTTCTCAATTGTTGTTTCAACTTCACACTAGCAACCACAAATACGAACTTTGATTTTGAGAAAGGTGACTAATAGTTTCACTTTATTCCAAATCAAAGATATTAAATTACTTAACTTTATTAAGTATTACCAAAGTTAATTTAATTTTTTTTAACCAACTTCATTTTATCTAAGTGTCACAAGAAATCATTAGGAGGAAACAGTGTTACAACTTGATTGATACTTCGACCAAATTGAATGATTTTTGGAAAAATGACAGAAAATCTCACATTTAAGTTTTTTTATTATCATTATAATTTATTAATTTACAAATTTTTAAAATTTTTTATTTTTGTGCATCAAATTAATGTATCTCACGCACCAGATTAATGTATCTCGCGCATCAGATTAGTGTATCATGTCTAAAATGTAAATCAGATTAGTGTATCATGTATAAAATGTTATATATCTTACTTAACGATTAATGTATCTCGCGCATCAGATTAATGTATCAACGCTTATTATTTTATAAGTTTGAGGAGTTTCTGTAATTATAAACTTATAAGAGACAAATGGTAATTTTACCTTTAAAATATGTGATTTCTGTCATTTGCCCATGATTTTTTGATTTCACATAAGAATCTCTCTCAACTTGTCCGTTAAATTTATTTTAGTATTTTAACTTGACAAATAATTGTTTACTCCCTTAATCTCATTTCATGTGAATTAAAATTCACCCAAAAAGCTGATGTGGCAAATAAAAAAAGAAAAGGTGAGTGAAAATCAAAAAAAATAAATAAATAAGCCTCTTTTTTTCTTTTCAACTAATTAGGTTTCATCTTTCTCACACCCCAACACACACACTCATACTTACTTCCCTCTTTTCTTCTCCAT